TTGTCAAGTTTTCAGACAGCAGCTGGGCATCTTGTTGCCATCCTCCAGTACTCCTTTGAATAGTGCTCCTCAGGGGAAGCAGAGACTAATACAGCAGGCTAGTCCTTCCCCGTGCTGCTGCATGGCTTGAGGGCAATAAAAATCAAGCAAGGAAATCATCCTAATTCAAAGTCTTAGTAGCAAGAACAAGCATCTGCAGAAAGAGAAGAGGAGAACCATGCAGTGGAGGAAGGCAGATGTGCAAAATCTGGAGGGATTGTTGAAGAAAGAAGGCAGAGAGGGGAATTCTCTGGACTGAGGCTCCTGGGTCAGGATCACAGAGCAGAGGAAACAGGGAAGGCTTGTACTCTGTAGTATTAAGCTCTTATCTATCTTCTGGAGATGAATATATGCTCTGCATATACATACATATACGTATATATACGTATATATCTATATTATATATCTGCATATGCATGTACATACATATATATACACATATATGTACATATGCATGAGTTTGTATATCTTGCATCAAGTCTGGGGACACAAACAGGTCAATCTTTCTAACAAGAGGCTGTTTTTTCCTTTTTCCCAAAGCAATTTCTCCTGGAGCTGCCCAGCTCTTACTCCTGACTAAGACAGGAAGTCTCATGTGCCAGAAGGGTGAGATCCAGGAGCTAGGACAGTCCTGGACAGCCAAAGTACTTTCCCTTCAAGGAAGCACGCTGGAAGTATTTGTGTTTCTCAGGTTTTGTTTTATGCAAGCCTAAATAAGTAGAAAGTAACCTTAAAAGTAAAGATACTACCATTGAGAATAGACCTCCTTTTACTTTGCCTTTTCTTCTTGCTTTTTACTTCACTTTTTGCATTGCGAGTCCTTTTTGTCAGTCTTGTATTATTAAATTGGTTTAACAGAGAGCAAATTGGAAAACCTCTATGACCTGGCACAGGCCATGAAAACCCTTACAAAAAGGTACTCTTTTTCACCTGACAGCTTGCCTTCGCAGGAACATCAGCACTTTGGTTGATGTAGTGGTGTTAGGGTTGAAACATAGCAAGCCTTGTTTGGGCTGACCTCTCCCTACTGCATCTTCCACCTCAGGGGCCAGTAGGTCACCTATTGGGAAGGGTTTGTGCAGCAATTCCATGGTTAGCATGCATGCAGTCTTCCACCCCTTAAGCAAAACTGAAATGTATTGATGTATCTGCAATAAATCAACCTCCTGTAGCATGGAAAACTGGTGGTAGTAGTGGAGACAGATCAGGTCTTAATCTGAGCTGGAGGGAAATAGAATTATACTGTGTTGAAAGCCGGGCCTCCCGCCAACTGAAAGCATAGCCTCAGTGTACCCCAGTATGCCTGCACAGATTTTTCCCCAAGTTCAAAGAAGAGACACCTGCTTTTGCTGCAAACCTGTCAGTTAAAACTCATAATGTTGTATTGTAGATGTTAAGTAAATATCATGTTTGTTGCATTTTTTCCCTCCATTTATGGGACTGGTTTCTTTGTGTGATTTCTATTCCTTACTGCCCCATTTCCCCACCCTCTATTAGAGTCACTATGACAATGTTTATACCTGAGTGGATAAACGTACTCACAGGTTATGTTTCAAGGTAAATTCATCTGCTGATTAAGTGGTTTCTGGTAGCATTATAGCTGATTAAGTATGTGTATTTCTAAATTTACTGTGCCAAAATGAAATTCAATTAGCAGTGCAAAATGACTTTTTGAACCATTAACATTGGGTAAAAAAAATAAGTACAGGTTTGAACAGCCTGCAAAATCCTTAAGAGATGGAAACCTCCATTGCTTTGGAGAACATCTAAAATACTAGACCAAATTCAATACTGGCACTGGCATGCAACAATGATTTGGTGGCCTAAAACCAATGAGCCTGCTGTTCTCTGTTCTGAAAACTTGTATAACAGGCAATTTATAAATCCCTTTCATTTGTCAGATTGTTTTACTGTCTTAAAGTTGTTTGACTACAGCATACACTTGGTAGGTTTGGAAAAACAAGTAAATAGAAAAGTTCTTGAAATGAAGTCCTTCCTAATTTGTCATCATGTGGTGCCATGTGCCTGAGCAGTTAAAATTAATGCAACAACCTGATTCATTTTGTGGCCGTGGCATGTCACCTCAAGCTGTTGAGAGAGGTCTAGAAGCATCATCTGACACCCCCACCCCCGAGAGCTGTTGAAGCGGTGCCCCTCAAACCTCTACCATGCCACAAATTTTATATACAATGTAAATCAGGCATGTTCATCTCACTTTGTCGAGATAGCACAGTCCTTCAGCCTCTATCTCTGAAGTGACGATGACCTGCTCAGTTATCCAAGTTCAGTTTGTGGTTAAGAAATCTGAATTTATATAGCTTTAGGGAAAACATAAGCTGTTTAGAAGAGACAGTTAGACAAGTTAAGCATCATTCACATTAACAGCAATTTGTAAAAGCTTGGTTTCACTCAGGAAAGATTATATTTGCTGTTAAAAAGTGTTAACTTGAATAGGCAGAGACTGGTGATAAAGCATTTTATCTATACCCTCTAGGAGGTAAATTCATGCCACGTTGCTGAATCTGGATTTGGATCCAAGCCTCCAAAAATTTGGTGCTGTTACACTGAACATCAGAGTTGCCACACTTTCCAAATCATGTTTAATATAGTCTGTATAAAATGCAATGGGACAAATTGACCATCCTCTTCTGTGGTAAGGGTTTGGGGCAATTTAAATAAAAAGAGAAAAACACTGAACATACCCTAAATTAAATCTGGTGGTTCATATGATTTGGCGCAGTGAGGCGAATTTTTTAAAAAGCCTTTTTATACCTATTCTTGAAAAAGTCCATCTTCCAAAATGTGGGAATGGATGTTAATGTAAACCTCCAGGCTGTGACCCCAACCAGTGCCTCCATTCCAGGAAGGCACTCCTGTTGCTATAATGTTCCTCAGTGCTTCATCTTTCTCCTGGAAACAGATATTGCAGGAATGAGCGAGCACTGGGAAACTGTTGAACCATAATGGACTGAATGAAGGACTGGTACAAAACTTTATATGCTTAAGATCTGCCACAGACGTGTTTTCCAGATACAGGTCTGGTCTCCCTACCTGTAGTGCAAGTCACAATGCTACATCAAAGAAGCAATAACAGAAAAAAAAGCATCAGGGCTGATGAGCTCTGTAAGCGTGTTATGGTGAGAAACTTCTTTTTTTTTTTGCCATTGATCTCATATTGTTTTCTGTGGAGTTTCTGTTGGTTTTTTTTTTCCTAAATAGGTAGCACTGATCAAAACTTGAGCTTGAAAATCAGCCATTCCAATTAGAAAGGTTTCCATTTTCCTCAGAGTTACATTTTTGGTGTGTGGATTTTCCTTTAGGATGGCGTGGCTCTGTTTGACTCATGCTCCTGCAGCACAGATCTCACGTGTCACCGGACAAGGTTCAGCTGTGTAGCTCACTACTGGGGTGTAGGTGGAAAAGGAATGTGCTCTATTTGAAATGTAATTTTTGTGATGCGTTGCAGTAACTTAAAAAAAAAAAAAAAAAAAAAAAAAAAAAGTTAATTTCTTATGAAACTTTTCAACTACCAACAGTATTAACATTTCAAAAAAAAAAAAATCTTTCCTTTCCACCCACTTAAAAACCTGCTTTACCATTTGTTAATGAATAAAAAAGATTAATGTTTGCAGCAACATAAGAACAAAATGAAACTAGTTAAACTACTCTATTTTTCCATTATTTCCCTTGTTACGTATATATTATTCTGTGCTATCTCTTATCAACATGGACTTGTGCTGTGAAATTAAATCAATAACCACTGTGCCTAAACTGAACTCTGAGGGATAAAAACAAACAAACAAATGACAACAAAAAGACTCACACTATTTTTTCCTTTCATTTCTTATTTATTCTTCTGTCTTTGTGTTTTAATCTACACTTGTTCCAAGTGAGCACCATTGGATATAGAACACCATCACAAAATACAGCAATGTTGTACAGATTCTTTATGCTCAGATAACACTGTTAGAAAGTTGAAACAATTTTCAAGTGATCTGAAATTTGCATCTTTCATGGAAAAAAAGAAGATGGATTGTAACATGATTCGCTGTGAAGAAAATAGTTGTGGTGAGTTTTGAGAAAAATACCTTCAACTTCCCCTACTTGTGTCTTAGTTTATTTTCCAGCAGATGGACGATTCTATAAATCTGAAAAGGAAAAAGGCGAGTGCATACATATAGCCAGAGGCATCACAGTAGTCTCTGCAGAGCAAGCTCCCGTATGAATATTATTGAAGGTACCATTTTTGCCCATAGTTTTTTCAATCTCAACTGGAATTTGCAGAAGCATTTCTTGCACCTGGGGTGTGAAATTCCTATTTTTAGTGCCCAGCTTCAGTGGGCACAAATGCACAGTGGACTGGCTGTGATCTGTGAAGTGCATACTCTGTACATGTCAACTGCCCTGTTCCTTGATCATGTCTTCTTTTGCTACCATGAGGTTTTATTAATTTCACAAATACTTGAAGCTCACTTTGACAAAAAAAAAAAAAAAAAAAAAAAAACACAGTTCAACAGGACACATGTTAAAACCTCATATAATACGGTGTTTACTATTTATCATGTTCCAAAACATTAAAGACTCCACAGGAATAGTAGTTCACAGCACACATGGTGGTGTTCTGGATTTGGGGATTTTGATTGATTGATTGATTTTTTTTTTTGGTGTCATCTCTTGTTATTTTTTCTATTGGAAGTTGCTCTGAACCTCTGAGTTAAATGAATTAGTAAGCAAAACCCCAAGCAGGGCCACTTATGTGCTGAATTTAAAGACTATTTTAATCATTATATTTATTTGCATTTTTTATTAACATAGTTAATAAGCTAATAATAGTTAATAAGCTAACAATAGCAAAGATAGTTCTGGTTATGAATTTACACTCAGCAGAAAATGATTTCCCACACTCTCTCTTTTAGCTTCATCTGACTTGGTCTTTATCCCTGTGCTATTTTTGTTTGCAGATACTGAAGAATGATCTGGATGGAAGGGATACTGCTGTCTGTCCTTCACCTAGCTGACCTTGCCTAGGATCATGCAGGCAAACCACTACTGCAGGTAGGCAGTGCTCACTGAACAGAAATTAATGCACTGGTATACACTGTGCGCACAAAAGGAGCCCATGCACACCAAACTTTATTTCAGGACCCCTTTCTGTGTTCCAAGTATAGGCAACTGCATCTCAGAATGTTTTCATGTTTATGCTGTACTCTCTCTGAGCTAACTCGTGCATGAGGTATGGAGGGAATTAAGTAAGTAGGTGAGGTTCCTGCCTTGCTTTCAGTGGAGTGAACTCCTGCTGTGTCTACTCAATACTATACCTTTGTTTGGTTGGCTTGTTTATTACTAAATGGAAAGAACAATAATGAAATATGAACTGAACTGCAGCGACATCTGTCCCACTGAATCTAGTTGTTCCAAGATCTGTTTTTCTGCCCTGGAAGTCAGGTAGTCAGACATGTGATAGACTCCTAACCATATGGTTAAAAATATACTTTGCTTAACTTCTTTGTGTCACCCTTTCAGCATACACTGAAACCTGAAATAGGCATAAACATTTAACTCATTTAGTGGTGTTGAGGACTGGCTGTGTTTGCAGTGAGACTGACACATCTGCAGAACCCTGAAGGGTGGTGACAAGCAGCAGGGAAGGACAAAGGACAGAATTGTCAGTGGCAGCAGAAATGGGATATACATCTACAGCCTTCAACTATAAATTATCTCAACTTCAATTTGAACTTTTAGTTTGACTTTCTGTAAGACTAGTTTTGGAGTTAAAATCAAGCTGGCGTTAAAATCTCCGAGGACAGAGATCCTCAGCTTTCATGGGTGCTTACTCCATTGGTAGACCACCTTCACAAACCTGTTTACATCATTCATAATTGCCTTTGGTTCAATGCAGTTATTGCCTCTCATCCATTTGCTGTGTTACTGAGAAGGCTGGCTCTGTCTTACCTGCTGCCCCTCTAAGGCAGCTGAAGACAGCAGCTAGCTCCCCCAGCCTTTGCTTCTCCAAGCCGCAAGAACCTCAGCTGTCACATGCACATTTAGTATGCATGATTTCAGATAACTAATAACTCTTCTCACAAAATGTCTTACTTTAAATAATCGATGACCATTTAAAATATTTTTGTTGTTGTTGTGTTTGATCATTTGTTTTGTTTGTTTGTTTGGCTGGATTAGATCACTTTCTCAAGCTCTTTCATTCCTGAAGCCAAAGAATAGCCTCACCAAGTCACCCTTTCCTCATGGCTGTCTATAAGCAAACCTGAACTTTGACCAGCAGAAGAAATTAAAAGGCCATTTTTCTGTGATTTTTCCATGTCCTCCTGCTGCGTCTAAGCTCAAAGAAGAGGTTCTTAATGACCAGAAGTCAAAGGCTCTGAGAGCTTCTCTCTTCTCCCCTTTTTTTCCACTCTCCTCCAGGCTTTCAAAGGAAACTGTTGCTGCTAGCTCTGCTGCATGCAGCCCGGCCCAACAGGACAGCTACCTGGCTGCAAGGAGCTGGGAGCTTTGCTAATGTGTCTGTAGCTTCTTTCAAAGGAGCCTGACCTTGGGCCTTGGAGGGATGCTCTCATGGTGAGACTGACTGTGGTCATCCTATACTCAGGGTGGGTGTTGGCATGCCACATGCAGCTCCCAGCTTCCTTTTCTCCTTACCCTGTCAACAGGGTAGGATTTTACCCTCTCCTTCAGATAATGAGTGTACTTGTGCATCTTTTTAAAGTAGATGCCTTGGTATAAATTGTTTTTCATTGCTGGCAGCCATATCTGGGGACTCAGCTTGAGTTGCTTGCCCAGATTTCTTACTGAGTGAAGTCTGAGTGAAGCTGAGTATTTTATTGTCAGTGTTGTTATTGCTATTCTGTGCGATATTGGTGGCCACTGTGAACCGTGAACATGGGTAAAATTCATGAGTGTATTATTTGCCATTTCTTTAGGTTAAGTGCAAAGAAAATGTAATTCAGCATAGAACTGAGATCTGAAACAGGAGTTGCTGTAAAAAGCAGTAATTAGTAGTTAGCCTGGCAAACGTGAGAAAAAAAAATCTTTATAGGTCAGTACTCTTTTTAGTGACTTGGTACAAACACAAAAGCTGAGTCATATTTGGTACTTTTGTGTGGACTTCAGGGGCAAAAAATTGTCAGTTGGGAGAGGCAGAGAGGCGTCCAACGGAGACAAGTCTGGCGAGAGTAGTTTTGGGAAGACACAGAGGCAGCGTACCTTCAGGCACTAGGTTCACTAGAAGCAGATTTGAAAATTGTAGTCAGACAGCTTGTTTCTGCATTTTCTCTGTCAGGAACACAATTTTGACTATGTTCTTTGTAAGTAAACACGGTTGTACCAAAGGAATGCTGAACTTTGTGATTTTCTTAATGGAGTATTCTGGCAATGCATGGAATATTCGATATATTTTCCAGACCGAGTCAAACACATCTATCATTCTGCAATAATCTTTATTAGTTCTACTTCAAAGTGAGCCAGAACATCACTCCAAATCTCATCACAACCTTAAGAGAGCTTGGACAACTGAACAGATTGCTTTGCTGTTTAATATGGAGAGACTGTCAGCAGTGGGGCCACAAAGTGCCAAACACTGCATTGTGGAGCTCCAAGTGGTACCCGGGATGGATAAACACCTCTAAAGAGAAAGCACGTGCCCTGGTGCTTTATGACCATGCAGTGTGCTGATCAAAGCTGTCAAACAGGGAGGTTTCCAGGACTTGATTTTTGCTCAAAATGAAATTGTGAGGTGTGTCTGCACTTGAAGTCTAGCACATAACCTGAACGTACCCACTTTTTGTGCTCCGGAAAGTAGATGTTTCCCATCTTTAGGCATGAAATTGGGTATTTTCCCATTTGAACTGGAAAAAATGTATTTATTTCAGTTTTGTCCATTTTTCACATCTCTTCATTATGCTATCATCTTTGACCTAGAGTGTGTGTGGTGCCTCTGTGCATTTCTGTGCTTTTCCTGTTCTCATTCTTTCAAGAGGCTTTGTGGCTTCTATTGTGTTCACTTCAAAGCCTTAGAAGTGTTTCCTTAGTGAGAATTACAGGTCATCAGGACAGCAGTAACTGGCCTAAGAATATTATTATTTATTATTTATATCTTACATAGTGCCAAAAGTATAACAGGTACTTTGAATCTGGTCTATAGCACAGTGAAATCAATAGGAAATGATCCTTAATTAATTGGGCTTCTGTTCCTAAAGTAATTCAGCGCTTCCACTGAGAATTAACTCATCAGATTCTCTTGCTAAGTAAACATCACAATAAATAATATAAACTGTTGCTTTCACAATGTTTTGTTTTCCTGCAACTCAAAAGGAGCTTTTGTTTAAAGTTTAAAACTTTTATGGAGCTATGCCTCTGGGCATTTAGACATAAGATGAATAAAAAATGATCTAGGGTTTTATTTAGAAAACCATTCCTGTGCATATATGGGCTTGTCATTCTGAAATGAAATTTTCATACAAGCTTTCAGCCCAAGGGACCAAGTGGAATCTTCAGATTTAAGAATTAATAAGTATTCTGCCACTCAATGGATCCCTGAGCACTCTGTCCACACAAAAATCTGTCTACTTTCCCTGAGTGCTTTGAGTTTTTTTCATATTTACTGTGAGTTGGTGTAATGTGTTTTTACATGTTGCTACCTTCAATATGCAATTCATCCAGTAAAACTAGGCAACTTCACAGACTACTAATTATTTCTAACTTCAAACACCCATAAAGGCACACTGCATCAGATCATGGTGAAACTTAGTGAGGGCTAGTATCTATCACAAGAAAAACAACTTCCACAGTGCCAGGTCTCTCCAACAACATGGTTCTTCCCAGGTTGTCATAATATGCTCTTCTTAGGCAGTCAGGTGGGAATACAACAAAATCAGTCCCAGCTTTGTACAAGCATCCCAGCCTTTGAGATCCAGAGTGATTGTGTAAGGCTCTGTGCTCGTACCATATCTGAGATGCATAGCTTCCTTTCACTCATTTGTCGCCTTCCTCCCACTCCTGATTTTTCAGCTGTGATAATTTGCTTAGATCGTGTAGGATGTCTGAGGCAGGGAAGAGGCCCCAGAGCAAAATCCCAGTGCTGTCTGTGGACATTGGCTGCTACCCCGTGAGCACCATCTAGCTGACTCCTAGTACAACAGCATGGGAGGCTGAGCAGATGCTTCTCCTAAAAATCAACAAAACAAGCTTTTCGTGTTACAGTTTGGTGATGTAAGGTATATAAATACCATGAAGCACCTGGGAGACTGATATCCATATAAACCACTTGTCATAAAAGCATGTCAGGTTGTCTCACAGTGCAGTGACGTGACAAAAGTATCTTCTGCTATCTGGGACATCTGAAAGGAGTGAGTTTCATAGTCTAAGCATCTAGGTTTTTCAAACCTTTGTACTGTATAAATATCAGGAGTATTGCATCCTATTTGTTTTCAGATGATTTTTGTAAAGACAAAGGTTTCTGTAAAGACAGTGCTATGACAAGGGAGAAGCCCTGAATTGAAGCTCGAAAACCTCCTTTTTGCCTGGATACTCTGTGTGGTTACTCATCTGAGAAACAGGACTGAGAATTTATCTAATTTTTCTTCGAAAATGTTCTGTACAGATGACTTAATTACTTCTTGCATAGTAATTTGAAATGAAAATTCTGTCGTTCAAAATTAGAAAAGGTTTTTGCTCTCATTTGAAGAACTTTGGCTCCCTGATTTTTTATTGTTATTGTTTGTTTGGTGTTTGGTGTTTTTCTTTTGTTTGTTTGTTTGTTTTTGTATGTATGTTTTGTTGTTCTTCCAGATTTTAAATTTTCACTCCTGTTAGAAACAGCCTTGGTGAAGAATTTGCCTGGAATAGTGACAGCCTAGCATTATAGAAGCACTGTTCACTGTTAACCTTAGCAATGCACATCATGATACATGGAGAGGATGGCCTGCGTTGTAGAAATAGAGAGATTGGGGATCCACTGGACTGAAAGCAACTGTAAAACTGTGAAATTGTATATCCAATTTGTCTTTCAATTTATGTGGGCATCTGTTTATTCTTTTCTT